TGTGCACTTCCTCCTGGTCCGCCTCGCACAGCAGGCAGTCCCCGCTCCACTCCATCGGGGCCTCCGCCTCGGAGCCTGCCCCCCCCACGGGCTCCAGACCCAGACGGTGCTGGGCGCACAACCTCTCCGCCAGACACTCAACAGCGGCCACCATCTTGTGCCGCCGAAGAGTGCCGACCTCCCGGTGCGGAAGGACGTGGAGCTCGCAGAAGCTTGCCAAACAAACCAGGCACGACTTGGCCGCCTTCAGCCTGCTCTCCGCCGGGCAGAAGTCACACGGAACCTCGCCGACTCCCCCCAGGTAGAGCTCCGGCGCCGTGACCATCTCAGTCAGCTTGAGTTTGTCGACGACCTCGGAGAGCACGGTGTTCCTCCGGAGCATCGGCCGAGGGCTGAACGTCTCCCGGCACTGTGGGCAGCTGAACTGACCCGATTCAGCCTGGTCCCAGTAGTTGTTAATGCAGGACATGCAGTAGGTGTGTCCGCACGGGGTGGACACCGGGTTCTTCAGGGTGTCCAGGCAGATGGGACACCTGAACTGGCTCTCCGTCACCGAGATGTTGGCTTGGGCCATCTCCGCAGTGGATCTCCACTGACCTCGGTTGACTTTTGATTCGCCTGTTGACTCCCTGCTTGTTGATGCTGAAGCTTTTCCCCGACTCCCCGGTGTGTTGTTGTGAAGAGGGAGGGGTGAGGATACAGGAATAGCTCTTCCGCAATGTCATACATCCCATAAGGCGAAATGAGGTGTACGCCCTCAACGCTGTCTTACAGGCAGCAGGAGGAATTAAAGGTTAAGTTTTACCAAACAGAGTTTCTCTCTTGTGGTTTCTCGAGCACATAGTTTATAGTACCTATTTAAAAAAAAAAAAAAAATGAATAGAGTAGCCTACTGTTGGAACTTATTTGAATTGACATTTTAATAAAATCTACACAGCCATAGGCCTAACAGCTCACGAGCTTTCCTTTTATTTTATTTTTACCAACCACTCTGTACGTTTTTGTAATGCAGGTTAAAGTTGAAACACACGCATGTGTAAAAAAAAATAAAAAAATCCTTAAATTAGGTGGAAAATTATAGGGAACTAACATCCAAACTAATGAATTCCACAGGTGTCTCAGTAAGTTCAAAATCTGTGCTATTTTGATTCCATTGTCAGCTTTATACACAACAGCCAATGTTACAGAAGGTTAAATGTGTTCTCCAACTCATACTGCGAATTGTAACCCAAGCTTAAAACTAAAAAACTGTCTCTCATCCATTTTTCATGCTCTCACAATTATTTCCTAGCCTTGTTAATACACCTGGCTGTATATCTCTTACACTGAGAAAAATAAAATCCTAATTTTGTGCACAATTCCCTTCCTGGCTTTTCTGTCTCTGTCTACAATTATATAAATGGCATAGCCTTAATGTGGTCTAAAATTAACGTTTACTTGCAACACAGTAGAACAAATTATCACATGATTGAAAAAATAGCCATTTTGGCAAATAAGCTGTATGTTTTGTATGCCTGAGGCCCCCGGCATTTTGTGGAGTCAAAGAGGGGTCACAAGCCAAAAAAGGTTTGGAACCACTAGTATGTGTTTGTTCTCTGAACCTCTAACAGATTAATTCACATATCTCACTCATCTTGTGTTCTGCAAAACTATAATCATTTAAATATGGCAATTAACTGGACAGCTACGGTGATTAACTGTACCAGATTTACACATTTTGTGCAACACAGAAGGATTCAAGTGAGACTTTAGGCTATATAAAAACAGAAGTGAACAGACTCTTGATTGGTGGCAATGGAACAATAATAAAATCATTTTTCAATGATTTTCCAGTTTTGGAATACTGATGGATTACAACATAATACATAATACATAAAGGCTGGATGAGCCCTGATCAAATGGACTCTCCACCAATTTACCATCAGAGCGTTAACCTGGAGACAGATCCTGACCACACACTAAGGAGAAGGGGTCTAATGAACGATCACTTGCATTATGGAAAGTTATCTGGTCTGCCTTTTTTAAGTTTGACATCTCAGAATGGTATAAAGGTCAGGATAACTTGGCGTCATTGTGATAATATTTATTTGATTATCCAGGAATGTCAACATATTCTACGCATGCAATCACCATATATCCTTTAATCTCTCTTTCTGAATAACAAAGATGAGTATTTACATGATTTGAATATGTACATTTAAGAATATGTTGTGCGAGTTATAAGTTGTCTCTGATGAGCTCATTTTTCATTTTGTTTCCGCTTTAAGAATTGAATTTCAGCAGCGGTTCAGCAGGAGATCTGCTGAAGATCTGTGTCTTAAGAAGGGGATTTTCAGGTACTTAAGCTTTGCTCTGACTCTGAGCCTTTTACGCCGCCACACACACTCACACTCACACACACACACACACACACACACACACACACACACACACACACACACACACACACACACACACACACACACACACACACACACACACACACACAGGTAGCTGTGGTTTACCTGCCTGTGAAGTTAAATGGTTTTCCTCTGTAAGGTTCAGGTTGTCAGTGAGACCCAGGCTTAGCGCTCCATGTCTTCTTAAATACATTGCTGTGTTGTAAAAATGATTCCTGGTACGTGAAACAAAGACAGCTAATAAATAGAACATATACAACCCATTGTCTCCAAGATTGTCCCATTACAAGTATTGTCCCATTGACCATATTAAAGTCAGGTTTGTCGTTTCCAATGTGGATAAATGACTATTTAACAATAGTTTTCACCCGGTTCTCACTGAAGTATAGACATTTAAATACTGCATTACATCTAAACTATGCAACAGGAAAAAAACATTTTTTTCCTCTAAAAGTTTTCTAAAGGTCAAATCTGACTTGGTCCATAGAGTCAGGAAAAGTGAATGTGAACATCATGAGCTGACCAAAGTGCTTTACCGACAAATACAAAAGAAATACAAAGTTATAAGAAAAAATACATTTTGAGATTAACAGACAAAAGTAATCTCCACACACACACACAAAAAACTTCTCCGATGTGGTACAAACTGACCATCTTTTGGTTAAAGGCCAGGGGTAATATTCAGAAAAATCATGAGAAGTTCTTGATTATTCCACTTCCCCTCTTGTGTGTCTGTCCTGTTCCTCCAATCCCAGTTCTTGAGTGCGATCCAAGTCTCTGTCTGACAAAGCGGACAGACAAAGCCCTGAAAGGGGGTCTGGTCCCTTGACTCCCCGGTCTTTTGTTCAAAGTGGGACTGTGATGTACTCGCTGTTTCAGAAAAGGCCCTTTTTAGCGAGGCTGTAAGGCAATCCTGGGCCTCTCCTAGCCAGGGTGTGCTCCGGGCATCTCTGGTTTACCTGCGGGACCGGGAGGGGTGGGGTTTGAGGTGGGCTGGTTCTTCCTGAGCCAGGTAGTTCAAGTGGAGAGGAAAGAAAGCAGCTGGTCAGTGGTAGAGAAAGTGAGAGAGGGAGAAAGAGGAGGGGAGAGATGGAGGGATGGATGTAATGCGAGAACGCTGAGAAAGGACAAATAAACAAAGGTGGCAATGAGGGTCTGAGGTGAATTAATTGTATCAAGGTCTTTCTCTCTTTGGTGATGGTCTCCAGAGACAAAGGGCAGAGAACAGCAGACAGTGGATACAGTATGAGACGTCAAGACCAGCATAGAAAGACCTGTTGTTTTATAAAGGCTTAGTATAGGAGACTTTCAGAGCACTTTTTTTTTAGACCTAAACAAATGCTCTCTTCAGACACACCTCCCTCATCCCTCAACCACTGACCCTCATGCCGAATGTTTGTTGACATTGTGTCCATTCCCAGTGATTCCAAAATGAGTCATCCTTTGTCATTAAACATTGTTTTGTTTCTTGAAAAAATTAGCATTTCAATATATTGACACTAAACTTGAAGATGCCCCAAACAATGAATTGAGTTTTATTTTTGCATGTGACACTGAATTTGACTTTTTGTCCATAGCAGTGCCAATTTTGCAGTGTGTGTGTGTGTGTGTGTGTGTGTGTGTGTGTGTGTGTGTGTGTGTGTGTGTGTGTGTGTGTTTTACATAGTTTAATCTTTTACAAAGCTGTGTAACTGTAAGTGCTGAGGAGGAAGGAAGGAGGCGGTGAGTTTTGCTGTGGGTGCAGTTTCTGGCAGAGAACAGGTGACACCAGGCTCAGCGGGCTGTGATACATTGTCTGCTGTGTAGTTTATGATTGATTCTCATTTTGAGAATTTTTTCCAGCTCTTCTAATTTATGATAGGTTCTCAATTGGGGCTTGGGACCCTTGAAAATATTCAAGTAAAAATGATTATGAGTTAATAAGCCAGAAAATGGTTGTTATATTTGGTTCCTTGACTTTCTTTCTCTTTCATTTTTTTATTCTAGTTTGATCTCTTCAGGATTAAAGAAAAATGCTGATGAAATATGTCAGAATCCATCATCGCTCTTTCATAAAAAAAAAAAAACAACAACAAAAAAACAGTTTGCTGAAGTCTGACGTGTCTGACAAGCATAATCATTCAGACACAGTTCTGCCCGGCCTCGTTCAAATCTTTGCATCTTGCACTATCACTGCAGGCGTTAATGGTTTGGTCAGTTATAATGGAAATGCTCAAACTTTCTATTTCAAACAATTATGGAGATTTTGTTCAGCTGAAAAGGTGATCATGGTGAATGGAAAAAGTTGAACTTTCTACAGTTACAACATTACTATAAGAATCCAGAATGAGAAAACATTACACGATAAAGGTTTTGGAACAAGCATGATCATTGACTTTAGGTTAAAACTGTTGGTCAGGTGTTGATGTGTTTGGCTTCGTTCGCCTTTTTAGACTCTCCACTAAATCTATATTGCCACACTCTCAAATAAAAGCCAATTAATCACAACCGGATGCACAGCCTATTTCTCCCTTGCTTTTGTGGTTTATTTTGAAATCAATGCCAGGAAGTGCCATCACTTCGGTCTGTGTAACTTCACACTAGTGACATTCTGTGGGCAGAGCTGAAACTGTGACAACGTCAAATGAAAACACAGTGTCACCCGCTTTTTCACAGAAATGAGACATCATTTACTGCCATGCAGCTGTAGCGTTTTCTTAAAGAAATTCTAAAGCGTATTTTTTATTTGTCAGGGTGAATACAAATTGATTTTGATCATCATCAAACTATTAAACTATGAATTGATTGAAATGAAAGCCTACGTTACGAGGAAGGAAGACGGAAGGTGTGATGGAGAAGAGACCGAAACAAGTGAACATGTGGACTTTATATGAAAGAAACATGCTTTTAAGGCTTTGTGGATTTTAATTCCCATAAGCCCCATTCTACCATGCATAAGAGATGGATACGCCGGAGGTTGCCTGTTTTGATTGTCACCTTCTTCATCATTCTCTACGTGGATTTCCAATTACGCTCCAGCAGCCTCCCCAAACTCAGCGCGGCTCAGCCTCCGTCACCCGGCGCGCTGCTCCAAAGCTCCATCCAACAGGCTCCGTCCTCGGCCAACGACGCACAGAGGCCGGCTAGAAACAGCAGCCGAGGGAAGAGGGGGGCGCCCTGCCTCTGATGGTGCACAAGTCAGCCAGCAAAAACTGAAGTTAGAGGACATCTTCATCGCTGTGAAGACCACAGGGAGATTCCACAAGACTCGTCTCTCGCTGCTTTTGGATACGTGGATTTCCAGGACCAAGGCGCATGTGAGTTTTTTTTTTTTTGTGCTTCAGAGGGCTGCACGTTGGTCACATACGGTCATAACAGCGAAATCATGAAGCAGAGAAGTGAATAAAAATCATTGTTTGGATTTTATCAATTCAACATTGGCCATTATCTAACAAAAACTGAGCAGAAAAGTTACACTTTAGAAGCCATCTGATCATGTTGCCAGAGGTTCAAGATGGAAACATCTAAATGTTATTATTCATTTACTATGTTGAAGGAAGAATGGCAACAGGTTTGTAAGGAGAAATGTTCTGTTAGCCTAAAGATGAAATGAAAACAATTACTTCCTCTCTGTTTTCGAAGCTGCAGATTAACTCTAAAGTTCAGTTGAAGCAAAATAAATCGGTACATTTTTACAGCAACTGATGTAGAGATTGTGAAACACTCAGATTAAAACTTTGAAACCACAATTTACCAAGAGAAACATTCAATGTTGCTGCTCTCTCCTGTTCATACACACACACACACACACACACACACACACACACTTAAAGCTAGCTGGCATTTCACTTGTCTTCTCAGTGAAGCTTTGCCAACTCTCGCTGTATCTATGGGTGATAAGTGGCTTGTCAAAACAACACAGTGCTCTTACCAGGAACATTTTTTATATCAGAGTCCAGCAACTCTACTTTGAAGAGACTCTATTTGTCCAATCTGGCTGGTAAAATAACAGTGCATGCAAAACAGGACAGCACAGGGATCATTGTGTAAACATTAACTTGTTTTCGTTTTAGTTTATGTTTGGTTAATACATTTAGATGTATTGCAAAACATGCATTTTGTGACGAAAATGACTATAAAATCTGAATGAGGAACATACTTTAATTTATACATTCATGAAACAGCTTGTTTCCTTTTTTGAAACAAGTGAAACACATGAGCGGATCTTTATAGAGGAAGTGTTGCTTCATGTAGCTTCTCTATTTTGGTCTCACAATGCCAGAAAAATGTTTGAAAGAGTGCTGACATAGTGAAGTAGAGTCAAACATTTCTCTAAAACACATTTTAAACAGTTAAAGACAACAGAAAACAAACCGCACAACTTAAACATACCTATACTGGAAAAGAGCAATTGGGAATACAAATACTATAAAAAAAAATACCATTTCAAAACAATTTTTTGGAGATCTATGTGTATAAATGATCCTTAATTTAAAAGGTAAATATATACAAAAATACAAGCATAGTAACACACACACACACACACACACACACACACACACACACACACACACACAGGAAGCTGTGCAGGCAGGTTGTCTGGGCCGGGGGGAAGTTGCCGACATGTTAGGACTCTGTTAACAATACTGAAACGGAAACTCGTCAGAGAACAGGAAGAGCAGAGGCAGATTGCATAAAACACACACACACACACACACACACACACACACACACAGAGATACACACACAGAGATACACACACATCACATGATTTTTTTCATCATTCAAGGTTAAAAGTCGGTTCTAGCCAGTATGAGCGCTGCTGTCACTCAGTAGCTAATCTGCTAGCGCCGGAAACAGAAGTGTTTCATCGGAAATCATTTCAGCTCTGGAAAGGTAAATCTATATGATTAACAGCCAGCAGGTCCCACTCTATGTCCTATGAACCAGTTTTCACCGCAAAAGGTCATACAAGGTCAGAAATAATTATATTGGCTGAGATATGCTTCAGTGGGAGGAGCCATGGACTATGTTACATTGACTAATGGATGGGCACAACTATTAAACTGAAGGTCCCTTTCTTTAGTTTTGGAACATATTTCAAGGTACAGGAAACATACAACACTTTTCTTTTGGATACATTCAGTAATATTGTAGAAATATAGAAACATTTAATTCAGCATTTGTCAACTGTGATTATTACCTGAAACTTAAGCCAAATACTTCACTAACTCTACTGATAAAGTTTCAGGATTTATTTTTGTCCTCAGTTAGATAAAAAAAAGGACTTAAATGTTAGTTTTAACAGATTTTTGCCCTGATGTGTGTTATGCTCCTTCACCCTCACACAGAATCTCTGACTGTAAATCACATCACATTTCATTAAAGTTCCCTATAAGGTTGATTCTTCAAAACAAAGAGACTTCAACCACATGCATAAAAGGCGACATTTTAGAGAATCCTGCAAATACATTCACTCCCTGTACCTCTCTGAACTCCTGCACATCAACACACCAACCCGCACTCTCAGGTCTTCTTCTTCAATTCAACTCACTACACCACCCGCCCGCCTGTCCACCATGGGGTCCAGAGCCTTCAGCCGCTCTGACGCCTGCCTCTGGAACTCCTTCCCTCCATACATCTGTAATATTGCCACTCATATTTTTAAATCTCAGCTCAAAACAAATCTTTTTAATCTGGCATATTCTGTTTGATCATTATCCATCCTGTCACACCAATCCTCACAATGATTTATACTCTGTAGATTTGTCTATTTAGTGTAAATTTTATCGATAAGTTGTTACTTGTTTTGTCTCTGCTTTGTAAGATGACCTCGAGTGCTTTGAAAGGCGCCCTTAAATACAATGGATTATTATGATATTAACTTGAACAGACAGAGAGCTGCAGGAATGACACATGTTTGGCAAACTCTAGGCAAAATGAAATAGGCATCACCATTGAAAAAATACAGAAGTATTTAACTAACTCTAAAACAAATGTGTCATAACACAGAACTATTAATGCCTAGCAGCCTAATAGATATACTGTAAGTCGTAATCTAATTGTGTGACTGATTATTTTCATTTCTCTGAGGTTATTATCACAGAGCTGTGATACCCTTAACAGAACCATGGATTGTACATCAATCACGCCCCCTACTGTGTCTCAAGGTCCAATTCATACAGCATACTGACTAAAGATATCAAAGCGCAGACACGTCCATAAAAGTCTTCTTGGTCATGCAGTTTACTCTTATTTTGCGTCTTTTTGTGGGGATGAGCTGTCCACATTTTCACTCCCTGCTGTGCACAGCTGCGCTTTCATCATGACTGAGCTCATCTTTCCAAATATACTGTAGATGATGACCTGGGATGGCAGGGCACCCATTTATTGGGAGTCCAAATTTAACAAATGTGTTTTGAGTCACATAAAGTATTAACTAGAAACGAGCCAGCAAGGGCATTTCTTCAAGCTAGAAAAACAACAACACTCATTCCTGTGATTCATAACGGCTCCATCGTCTCCACACGTTTGGATTGAGTGTGCCGGGGGTTAACCGCTGCAGATTGATTTTTCCTAGAGCTGCACTGATTGCAGCGTTATAGACTATTTCCATTCTTTACCAACAGAAAATGTATTTCTATGTCATCCAGAGGTCGAACTTTTTTCATGATCACAATTTTGCGGGTGACATCCCCAATACTGCTGTGCACCAAAACCAACCACCCATCAAATCTCAACAGATGGATATATTTTCACTCCAACTGTGTGTGTCCATTAGCTTAGCTGTTCGTAATTTAGATGCGTTTGCATATGAGAATCATTCGCACAGAAAGAGGCCAATGCATCACCGGAGCATAGGGATGCTAATGGCTTTGCATCTCAGTAAGTGGAGCATTTGAATGTCTGTGTTTTTTAGACTGTTTTTATTTGAGTCATTAATACCAGTTAAGCAGTGTCCATGAACAAGCATGCAAAGATGATCTCTGCAGAAACGCTCAAAGCAGGGGATGTGTATCAGCTATATTTATGGGTTTTGCGGTTTGTGTGAGTTGATGTAGTAGCCTTATTCTTGCTTTTGCATCACTCTGCCTCTGTGCTATTCATCCATTTTCCTTTTTTTGTGTGAACCTTAAAGTTCAAACTATATGCATATTGGATTTAGGGCTCATTCATGCAGCAATCTGAATGCTACTGCTTCAAATATGCATCACACTAGATCCCTAAATCACTCTTTACACTTACCCTCAAAGTAAACATCCTTAAAGTAACACGCACACTTACAATAAAATACATTCTAACTAAACCTTATAACCAGGTCTTATAGTCTTTTGAACAAGTGAGTTCTTACCAACATGTCCTCATATTCCTAATAAAGGTCCTCGCTGTCAGATTCTAAAACACAAGATCTCACACAGGTAAACAAGACCTAATAAAAACAACCCCACACACACACTTACAGCTGGGTAAATCTCTAGCTCTGTCGCCCTCTACTTGATGTCTGAAGAATGATTTCCATTCACAATTTCTCTTCTTTGGCTCTCTGCCCTTTTTATGATTATTCCAGCCATCAAAACTTAAAAAAAAAACATCTGAAATATAACTGTCATATATCCTCTGTAGGTGTCACCATATGTTAAACATTTGAGTGTGTTGGTGATGATGACTGTTATTAACAGGAGGCAGGTGTGTAAAGCTAAATAAATATAAATACTTAATTGTCTCTTATTCATGCTGACTGTGTATACAAACACACACGCTGTTATGCATATCATGCATTCAGTGTCTCTCTATGGAGGGAAAATGTGGGCTTTCTCTTCAACATTCTCTGCGATCATACATTTTGAACTTGAACTTTTTCCAGTCATACAACATTGACCATGTCGGTAATCTGTCAATTGTTTCATTCGTTTGCATTTATACAATTGTAAACTAACTGTAGAACACTTCAACTGAAGACATTTCTCAAATTCAACATAACATCAACATTTTAATATGTTATTTATGACAATCACTCGAAAACATACAATATTAGGCCTAATGAAGTCGAACAAACTTAATATAAATAATATAGATCATTTTATATCTACATCTTCTATTAAGGAAGTTGATTCTATTGATACAGAAAGTCTTTCTCTTCATATGCTCCTATATTGTGAAAAATGCTCATCAGCTGTGTGAAACTAAAGAATAAAAGCACAAAAACATGAACTTATCGATATTAACTTTCGAATCTTTACAGCCAGAGGCAGCAGAGGTCATATGTAAGTTGTATTTCTTATCACCCTCTTGCTCCATTATTTAACTTGTCCTAAAGTATCTACTATGGTGAGCATAACATACAGGCTCAAAGAAATAATCTCAAGACATTTTATTATTCCTACCTGTGTTCAGTGAGACACAACAATACATTTCCCAGACTTGAATAAAACATGAGTTATGGTTTGTGTTTATCTCATTTAACAGGTGATTTGTCCCAGTCTGAGTTTATTTAGTGCCTGCGTGGAAAATAAAGTCGAACCCGCCGCTCGGTTCAGCCTGAGGGCCTGTGCAGATGGTGTGTGACGAAAGGGTTGCCAGTTCAAATCCCCCGATACAAAACTCCCCAGCCTTAGTAACTCTTCGTTTATTCTGATTTTTTATATTTTGTCAGCCAGGTAGATAAATCCGGCACAGGATTACAACTGTTTGAGGACTTTCTTATACTGATACGTTTGAAATCAATCTTTGAAAATGTTGCACGACACAAAAAGCAGAACATATGGGACATGTTTTTCAAAGGGAATCTGCAAAATGATAAATTACTGAAATCTGCTGGATAGTGTGCCTTGATCTGTAATTGATTTTTACCACCAGAGGTCAGTGTTGTACTACAGATGATCTATCTATCTATCTATCTATCTATCTATCTATCTATCTATCTATCTATCTATCTATCTATCTATCTATCTATCTATCACTGAATTTGCATTCCAAACAGTATTAGTCCTGTGTGGTGACAATGAGTGTGTTTGTGTTCATCTGTTACTAAAGGTGTTTTAATTTTATTTGCTCTTTGATTTTTGTCTAGACTTTCATTTTCACGGACACAGAAGATGGGGATTTGCTTTTGGAAGGTAAGAATCAATCTTGAATCAAATTGAACAAAGTCTAAAACCCTATTATGTTGAGCAGCACCTTTATTATAGAGACAGTTAGTCTATATAGGTCATATTGAATCTGAATGCTACGACATATAATATTAAAAAAATGACTGTATGTTGTGGTGGGACTTCAACTCACACTGTTTGAGTGAATCGTTTACAACCGAACGCTGTCAAAAACACTCTGACCCTCACACGCACGCACCAAAAACAAAGGAAAAACAAAGCCCTGAAGTTTTGGAATTGGCTCGTAGCTCTGCCCTCAACCTGTGAGATTATTCAGTCATACGATAAATTCTTAAACAAGCCAGAAATTCATCCAACCAGTCAGGAGCAGCTGAGGCGCTGCTACCCCCTGATGTTGACATCTGCCTAAGACTGAGGCATAAGCTATCTGTATGCTGTATGATGTTCCCAAATGTTAGCATCCCTACCACCTGAAGATCCCAGTCAAACATAAACTATGTGCCCAAAGACAGAGGCTTGTTCTCGTAATGTAGTTTAGAGTAACTGTAGCCAATCCTGTTTGCAGTTGAATCCCTTCTTTACACTTTTCTTGTGTGTTTGAGGTTTTTGGAAAAGCTTAAAAAAAAACACCACTTTAATACTTTGCAGGGCTTCTTTCATTTCATGTTTTTCTTGTTCGTACTCTCCTACCTTTATTTTTGTCTCACAGTCTTTCTCTTCCTCTTTCATTGAGTTTGCTCTTGTTTTGCGTTTCTGTCATTCACTCGCTCTCTCCTTTAAGTTCCCCCTTTTTTGTGTCTGTTAATTGCAAGCAAACTGCAGCACACTGTTTAACTTTCAACAATGTGATGGAGTTTGCCTGAAAAATGTGATGGACTCATTCTCCTCTCCTATGCACCAGGTCCTGTCCTATAAAATAGATTTTTGACATATTCTTCAACCTTGTCTCTCCCATCCCTTTGGTTGGTTAATAAATGAACATTGCAAAAGTACATACTCATCAATATATGCAGTTGAGATGAGTGCCTTTGAAAACTGTTTTTATCTGTCTGCTCCCCCCACCCCCCTTCAGGTTATAACATGGTGGTGACAGGCTGCCAGTCAGACCACAGCCAGCAGGCTCTGTCCTGCAAGATGTCTGCTGAGTACGACGGCTTCATGGCCTCAGACAAGAGGTGAGACAGCTTAAGGTCTACCATCATGTCCACACAGGATTTAAAGATCAGACTTGGTTAAAAAAGCAGCTGATAGTGAAAGAAGAAATCAAAGAAGAAATCAAAGAAGAAAAACAACCTTGCAGGCTTACAGGCTCATAAACAGAAAATGTACTATTTGGTTCTTATTCCGTCAACATCTTTATTGATTTATTGAGTTTCATCATGCGCTGAGCTTCTCAGAGGTCAACTGTCAATCAAGTCTATGCAAGTTCAAAAATCAATGTCTTCCACGGCTCCAGTGTGGTCAGCACATGGAGATATGAATCTTTTTTAGAATGTGGTAACTAAATGTATATTGACTTAATTGTTATCAGTTAAAATGGTACTCCAACCTATTAATGTTTTATCTAAGCATGAATCAGTGACTGTATATAAAGATGGACTAAGTTTCTCCACCTCCTCGTAGTTTAGAAAAATTCTACAACTTTACAATTCACTTAGCAGACGCTTTTATCCAAAGCGACGTACATCAGAGAGTAAGTACAACACAAGCAAGGATCTAGAAAAAAGGGAACAATGTCAGTAAGAGCAAACGATCAGCTTTGAGTCCGATTGGACACACAGGTGCTGACAACATTGACGGCAGTTCTTGAGAGCTCTAATCAGTATAGAAACCATCTTAAAAGTCGTCGTTATCAAACAAAAAACATCGTCATTACCATCATCATCATCAGTGATATTGAGACCATCATCATTAAGTTAGTAGGTATTCATGAAAGAGCTGGGTCTTTAGCTTTTTCTTAAAGGTGCAGAGGGACTCTTCAGATCGAATGGAGTTTGGAAGTTCATTCCACAACCGGGGGGCAACAGAGGGCTTTCATTGGCAGAGCGTCGTGGGCGGGAGGGAGTGTAGACCTGGATGAGAGCATTAAAGTAAGGAGGAGGATTTAGAGATATCAGCAAGTCATGACGAGATTCTTGCTGAGACTGTAACATCGTCTGGCGGGAATGACAAGAAGAGCTGAGTATCGTCAGCATAGAAAAATGAAGCCCAAATGATGCTGCTATCTTGTATTAGTGATGTCATTTGGGGGCCAGAGTCTGTGCAGTATAGATCAGCTGTTCGAGCCACAGTATGAACGTCCCACCTCGTCCACTAACTAAAGCATTTAACTCACTGACAATATAAAATATAATGTGGAGATAAAATAAAGGTAAATACCTGCTTCCCTAAATGCAGTTAATGATGTTTACCTAGTTAGCATGTATTTATATGAGATTGTATGTGAAACAGTCATTTACATGGCTAAATGATTTAAAGGGATTTGGAAGGGTTTACATAGTTGACAGTATTAGCAGATTGATTGTAATAATTAGAAGTAAAATCAAGTTTAAATAATTTAAAATATTTGTAACTGTTCATATTCACAGTAGCACCTGCAAAACAACAGTTTTCTTTCTTCACTTTACTTTAATGCCATAGGTCATATTTTACACTTTATTATCATAGGGGTGGTTTTCAATGTTCCACTGTTATTCATCATTTTATTCACCACTCAGTGTTAATTTCCTCTGGGGAGGAACTTGGAAACTATCGACTTTTATGAGGAGCACCCAAAGGCATCATTACTTTTGGCTTCAGAGGTCTCCGTTTGACCATTGGCCTTCAATCATGTCAAAGTTATAATTGGTGTCTGGTTCCAAACTGGAAAATAGTTTTATCTTTTCACTTTTAGAATGGGCCATTCCATGCTAAAGTCAATACATAGATATACATATACATTTAATGGTTTTAAACAGTAACTCCCCAGTACCTGACAGATCAAGATAGCAATTACTGGACATACGTGGACATACTTAGGTGTCAATAACAGAGCTTAAAAGAGGGTAAATATTTGACAAGCACTTGCCAGATTCACAGATGTTAGTCTTTTAAAACAGCTGGTCTAGCCTCAGGACCCACTCCCAAATCTTTAAGGACAATCACAGACCCACTTTTCGAAAACAAAATCAACAACTTACATGTATTTAATGCACAAATAGTTTCTATTTGAAGCAGCACAAAACATCACAGTCTCTTAACCTTACTAAACACAACAGAGTAAAAGTCAACCACCAGCGGGTGGTAATGGGTGGAGAAGAAAATATTTCCTTTCCAATACATTTGGTTAGCAGTCGTTCTTCAGCTGAATTAAACCAAGATGTGCAACACAAGTGGAATAGGGCCATACGGTTTGATGTATGTAACTGATGGGATAACCTTATTGTTGGTTACAACCAAATTTTTTTTATAAAAAAATATGAAATCATTAGCGTTTACTTTTTGCCACACAGCTTTTTTTTCTCCTTGCACACATCCACGACCCAAAACAGCTCCGCAACCCATGTTTGGTTCTCAACCCACCAGATCTCTTTCTTAATAAAAGCACCCCCCACCCCTTGTATATCCAAGACATGTAAATAGGCAACTATAGGCAACAAGTTCACTAGCTTATTCTGGAATGTGATAATATATCTTTATTGGTTTGTTAGCTTGTCCCCCCCTCCGCTGGCCAATAATCAGTAATTACTCTTTTCTTTACTTTGATCATTTGAATAGAAATCATTGAAACTTGCAAGTAGAAGAAAGCGGTATTTCTGGATCCCAAATCAATTATTAAAACGAAACAGTGATTCAGAATTGTTTGGCTTGGTTTAACTCATGACCTAGCTTCATGCAGCCATACAATAAATCAGATGATTTGTCGTCAGTATTCTGTCACATATTTGATTTTTGAAAATGCAATAAGACTCAACAGATTGTGTTTGCTGTGTGACTAAATGGTTGACTGCCACGGTGTTGTAAAGATGGCAGAGAAAATGAAGGAGCGTTTCAGTTTGGCTGCAGGGCTCACTTTATTTGTATGGTGGAGGGATGTGAGGCTGTTCGGTTTGGAATGAGCCACTTGTCTGGCAGCCATTAGGGTGGCAGAGGAAACACAACAACACGATGTACCAGCAGCTTTGTTATTTGGACTCTGATGCTGCAGTAAGAGTCTGTAGAGTTTGGATTGAAGATTTAACATCATGTCCAGTCATTAAGGTGGCAAGAAGAAGAAATCAAGCCTGATTTCTCATGGAGGAAAACTGTGAAATTCTTGTTAGAAGAGAGACAGAAATTTCAGCCAGACAGAAGTAGATGTTGTTTTCCCTGTGTTTTTCATGAAAACTTAAAAAAAAAACTAACAATGCAACACTGTTACGGTCTGATAGGGTCAATATCCATGGGATAAACTCCAAGGGCTATGATCTCCAACCATACAAATAAAGTTTTGAGACTGTCCACACCAAAAATATGACCTCTTTTAGGTGGTTTGTGCGACAGCAAATTCCAACCCAAATTGAACTTTGTAAAATCTAGCAGATGGAGAATTTGGGCAATGGATGAGTCAAACGAAAAAGGGGACTTTTATCCAGGAGGAAAAAGTTATTTTTTTATTTAACATTAGCACTGACTGTTTAGAACTCTTTAAAACAAAATACCAGAAATGGTGCCATATTAACATTTCATAACATCAACGAACTAGTTTAAACTTAACTTCTATGAAAAGTCAATAACATAAATTAGCATGATAAGAACAAACTATAATGAAAGAAACCATGTTTGAGAAAAACATTTGGGACATGTTTTTTGTGTATTTAATAGTCTGAATGTTTTGGCTTCAACCTTTAGGGGATCTAACATAACGTCCATATTTTTATACAGTTATCATTAGCTTAATGTTTGTAATATTTGCACTTTAGGTAAATAAGGAGCCCCCGCCCCAGGACAACGGTTCTGGTATAAGAACATGTTTGGGCTCCAATTTAGAAAGTACTGTTGTTAATTGTTATATTGATGGCACACAGGCAGGTAGTAAGTAGGAAACATCAGAATTTTTAAATGAATTAAAATGTCTGTTTTTGTACAATCATTTTAAATGTTTGCATTGTGAAATCAAACATATACTGTAAACATCTCAAATTCACAAATACAACATTTTGATGATATTTAATTGATTATTGATCATGGCAACCCTTTGTGTTTATCTGAGGATTTATTTCCAGTTTGTGAACTACATAACTTCCTGTGAGCACAAGATTATTTCTTGTAACAAAATGGATGAAGTGATGTAAATTACCCAACTTCAGCAAAGTGATAAACCAAAAACTTTCGGCTTACTAATGGCAATGTAATGCCCCATCTGCTGTCGTTCAGGCAATTTTCATTTTTAAAATTATAAATGGAAAAAAGACTGAAACCAGCAATTAGGAAAATAATATTTTGAGTCAGCAGACACAAACAGGAGGAATGGAGGAAAGTGAAGAAACCAAACTCCAGTGTTATATTTTACCTTCATATATCGTCTGTATTTCCCTCTGTGGCTCCTCAGGTGGTTTTGTCACGTGGACGATGATAACTACGTGAACCCTGACGCTCTCCTCGCCCTGCTCTCGGCTTTCCCTCAAGATGGAGATATCTATGTGGGCAAACCAAGCCTGGACAAGCCCATCACTGCTCATGAACTGCTGGAGGGCAATGCAACGGTACCATTACATTACAGTGTTTCATTAAAGGAGAATTCCTGTATTTAAAAATGACTAACAGGTAGCACAGTTTTGGATCTGCTCCAATGGGTCACTTTAGTGGGAGGGGATTAAAGTAGGCCTTGCTAAAATGTTTTACAACATTACAGAAAGGACTGCCCAAACAACAGATCTTTTGTCAATGTAAAATATTTTTTATAGAACAGAACAAAGAATAAATCACTCTGGACAGGTGTTGTAAATTCACATTTTGCTAAAAACACTAAAAGCCGTGCAACTGGGACTTGTGCTTTGTTAAATGTTGCAGCACCAATTTTACTGTATGCCCATGTCAAATAAATAAACAAATAAATAAATAATCCAGCAGACTACACTGACAAAAACAGAACTTTCACCTTACAAAATAAAATAATTACTGGTCTACCTTTTTTTGATTGATTAGTTTGTTTAATTTTTTTACTTGTGTTAACCTAAACCAATAAAACACCATAATCTGACCAAAAAACACAATAACCTTACCATTCAAAGAAGTGGCAGACATGCGACTCACATGTTCTGCAAAGTAGAATATTAACAATATTTTTGTGAATAGAGTTTGGCGACTAGAAGATGAAGATGTAAAGTTCCAAACATTTTTTGACCTTAATGTCATATATGGCTTTCACCCGTAGTTTCTCCTGCCAGACCCCTAGTATTTGTTCGGCAGCAAGTCTGAGTGGGCTGATATGAGAACACAGCAGGATATTATCCGGAGAATTCACCTCGAGGGGAGTGATGTTTAAATACTGTGACTGCTGCACGGTGCATAGAGTGTATGCATGCATACACTCTATGCACCGTGCATGATTCAGTTGAACTACGCCTAGCATTGATATAAAGGCAAATATTCTCATTATAGCATCGTATAGCGGACTCTGTTCATTTATCCGCTACTTCTACGTCGTTTTATTTTACGTTACGTCTTACCTCAGGAGAGCCCCCCCCTCCTGTCTGACAGGGATAGTCTCTCGTTCTGAGGTGCACATTTGAACAGCCAGGTCAGGAGAATATCCAGAGCTGTCCTCCTGAAGTTATCTAGATACTTTCAGGAGTACATATGTGAAAATGCCTATAGTCACAAATATGTAAAATGGAGCCTGGGTTTAAATATACCAGAATTCATCTTTATATTGGCCTGAACAGAAGCCTTTTTCTAAACTTTTCTTGGCATGTTACAATTTATGAGACTGTAGATTGGCATATCTAGTGTGTGCTCTGTTTCTAATGAATCGTGGCTTCATTCAACATTTTACTTGAATCTTTAAAGACAAGGTTTTGACGACTTACTCTTACTAAAAACAATTTCCCTTCAATACTCAACAAACATGTTGATTTTCATGTATTCAAAGTACACAGTCTTCCCTGAGGATTTTCTCTTGGCAGGATTGGAAAAGCCTTTTAAACAGCAATTACACCCCAGACCACTTCAACTCCATTGAAACCTGACTGAATTTAATTCATCTGCACTGATAACTCCTTAAGGCAGGGTGACCCCTCTGTGATGCATGACCTTATTTGCCTCATTTTCCCAGCTTGAGCACCTTTGCTTCTTCTCCCATCCCACCATGTTTCTCTACTCAACTTTATTTCCATTCTTTTCCAAATGTGCTTATTTGTATTATTCCTTATTTCTGTTGCATTCTCTCTCTCTCTCTCTTTTAACTACTGGACACTCGTAATCACACATCCCAGTGTTTTGATTTTCTAACTCTTTAAACCTGTTCCTCCTGAAAGCCAAAATTCTGAAATCGTGGATGAATTTTCATAGACACACAATCGAAAACAAAAATCTACCTTTTTTAGTCACAAGTAGAAACAATATATTTAAATATGAAGAAATAAATAAAAACAAGTAAAAGGAACAGTTTAATAGTTCAGATGTAAGAATTAAATATGTTTTTTTTTATCTGTAACTGACCCTCGCTCTAGCTTCATAATTCATTTCATTAGTACTTTATTTCAACTCCTTTCTTTATTTTTTTTCCATAATTTTTTCCCTGACCACAGACGTCAGATGGACAGGGTTGATACAGGAGCAGAGCAGAAAGCATGTATGGATGTATGGAAGAACATGGAACATGTAGCTTTCGTGTGAATGTGAAGGCTATTGTGTTTCACGTGGATCAATGAATGATTATCGCCTTGCTAGAGTAGAGTAATGGCTGGAGGTGAAACACTCAAACGTCGATAACGGCTCCTTTTGGGAGGCTGGGAGGTTGTCAGACTATGGGGGGAGTTGATGGAATACACATGCAGATGTTCCCAGTGTGTGTTTGTATGTTTTACAGTAGAAAAAATGTTTTTACTGAGGTGAAATGCATCCTGATTTCAGCAAGCCCTATATAGCCTGTCATCCCCCCACCCACCACACACTCTTGCTCCTTCATTTCACCCCGCCCTTTTCAACCTCCCTCGCTCAGTCTTGAAATAACTCCCTTGTGGAACTTTCTCCTCTCTGATTGCTGCCATTTACACTGAAAGTAGACATTTATTTATCTGTGCTTCCTCTCTCGATCTTCTGTATCCGTTTCTATTTCACTTGCTTCTTTTTCTTCCCATTTTTCCTCCTCTCCGTCCCTGGCTGACGATGGATTGGCGGGGAAGAAAACACAAACGAATGTCAAGCTCCTCTCTGTCTCCCAATCTCATTTTCTTACATCTCGCTGCCTATCTTTTTCGATTTCCTGTCACTGTTTCCAAGAAGGAGAGAAGGAAGGGGGAGTAGAAAGAGAAGGAATGGAGAGAGAGAGGGATGGATCGGAAAGGAAAGTATTTTACACTAAAATGAAAGAGGGAATGACAGGCAAAGAGCCAGAGGAATCATTTAAAGTAAATGCAAAGAAAGAGAGGAAGTGCAAACAATGAGGCAGGAAATTGGTGATATATAAAGAAGAGGAAATTATGAAAACAAAAACGGGACAAGAAAGGAAATCACTGCAAAGGATAGAGAAAAGAGAGAGCAAAGAAACAAAAAACAAAGTTAAGACTAAAAAATTAAAAACAAATATTTGAATAAAGAGAAACGAAGGGGGAGGACATTAAGGAATGAGACAGTCAGCAGAGCAAAAAGAAAGGAAACAGTAATTTTCTACAATCACAACCTACTCTGACCTGACTTACATGATAAATATCACCTCAACACTTCATACTTCAGGCTTTGAGCAATCCCACCATGCAGTATCACATCTGCTTGAGAATTGAAAAGTTGCAGATTAATAAGAATAATTTATAGCAGGCTGGTTTGAAAAAGACCAAACAATCAAGGCAAGACTAAAAGAAACCAGAGAAGGAAAGAAAGGCACAAGTGCTTAATATTAAGGTATAAATTGTTCTTTATTTGAGACGAAGAAACATTTTAGAAGTCCTATTGACTGAGTATCGATAAAGCAACTGGTTACTTTGGAGAAATAAATTGGGAATTAAAGTGGAAATGCATTAAAATGAACTGAGCCACAGTGTTTCACTAATATAACTACCAAAATATACAGAGAGCTGTCTTGTCACATGTGATGCTCTGCTACAGACAATCACATACCTCTTAGTGTTTCAGGGGTTCATGTGATTTCAATACATTATTCCAAAAATATTTTGTTTTTGTTCTCAACAAATCCACAGAAAGTGAGTTGTGTAAACTAAAAATTGAAGTTGAAGCTCTCCTTTCTTCAGCTGCGTGCTGTTGTTGTGATGAAGAAGGCAGATGTTCCTTTTTTTATGTAGTGCATATCGTAGGTGGAGGACTTTAACGTAATTGTCAAAAAGAGGGATGGAAATATGATCCAAAAACAACATGTGTATGTGTGTGTGTGTGTGTGTGTGTGTGTGTGTGTGTGTGTGTGTGTGTGTGTGTTGCCCCTCAGAGAGAAGTGCGGTTCTGGTTCGCTACAGGGGGAGCAGGATTCTGTCTGAGTCGACGGCTGGCTAGGAAGATGGCGCCGTGGGCCAGGTATTAAGGAGATGATACTCTGTGCACATGTTTGTGTCAGTTACTTATCTAATAGGAAACTATAATGTCCAGATAACAGGGACTTGACTAGGTGGAGATTTTGCATTTACTGTATGTAAACAGAAAGGTGCAGATTTCATTGTCTTAATGACCTCATGTATTATCTGAAAAGTCCTTTAAATATTTGTGCTGTTGTGAATCCTTCAACTGAAAAGTTCAGACACTTCCTTGGTTTCCTTAAAGTTGGACGAACTATACTTGGTATAAATGTTTCTTTTTCTTTCAAAGTAAAGTCAAAGTTTCTGGAGGTTATTCATGTTAAAACCAAACATGCTTCTTAGAAAATCCATCATTTGATATGTGAAAAACAAACCCCAAATACAAACTAACAAATAAGTGAACTAACAAAAAAACTTACTATGATTTTAATCATAGATTCTGTTTGTTTGCAAACGCTCTTGTTCCACAAGAGGTAGTTTTTCTTCCTTCAACTGCATTTAACAGCAATCTAACTTTGACAAAAATAAATAGATTAACAAATTAAGCCGGCGTTAAGTCCCCAGTGATGAATCACCAAACTAAAGCAAGTTTATTCTCTGGAAGTTTGTGTTTATACTGCTGTTAAACAACTGAGACTAATGTCTACCCTGGGCTAGAATGTAAAGAATCAATTAGAAAATGTATGGTCTTCTTTGGAAAAGGTCAGCAGTAAGGTCCATGAAGAAAGTAATTAATGCAACAAAATATGCAAAATCACCTATTTTGTCCATTCAGGGTGTTATTTAAACAGCTTTATGGCTTGACTAAGATATCTTATTTCTTCACCATAATATAACACAAAGGCTCAATCCATTTTATATACAAAAGGCATATTAATAATGTCACAAGTATATTTGCACTTACCAATGTGTTTGTGTGTGGTCTTTGGTTTCATGTATATTTAAGTGGCTCACGATTCGAGGAGACGTCGGCGAAGATCCGTCTCCCCGACGACTGTACGGTGGGCTTCATCGTGGAGAAGAGGCTGGGCATCTCCATGGTCCACTGTCCTTTATTCCACTCACACCTGGAGAATCTGCTGCTCATCAGCCACAGAGGCATTCCACAACAGGTACACAAGTACACAAACACACCAGCAAAAAAAGCATACAAATATATGTTTTTATACCTGTGTGTGTGTGTGTTTCGTTTGTTGCAGGTGACTCTGAGTTATGGGATCTTTGAGAACAAAATGAACAGCATCGAGGTGAAAGGGAGCTTCTCAAAGGAGGAAGACCCCTCCAGGTTTGTCTCAGCTTGAATTAATTAGCCGAATTAATTAGCCCTATTTTCAGGAGATTTGAGAAACTTATCTATTGTTTTCTGAGAATTATAAATGTTTAGACCTACTTCTTATAAAGGTGGTTTCAGTGAGTTGTTAAAATGTTACACCTGAGTATGAAAAATCTGTTTTCCTGTTGTTAAAAGGTCACAAATCCTCTGATTTCAAATCTATCAAAATCCATGTGCAACATAGAAGATTCAGTAAATGAGCTGCCTACAACACACTAAAAAGGCCGGGAAACTCTCCAGCTCCCAGATGCTAAAGTTACACATCGTAACTTTCTGAAAAACGCTGCAGAATTTCAAATCTTAACCATGTGTAATCGTCAGAAATTAGATATAATGTCCTACTCCAAGACAATTAAGAAGTACATTTAGCTTGAAGCACTAGAAGCCAATTTTACTCATGAAAAGCAATCAGGTTTTATCACTTGCTTATTATATCTTGAAAAAAGACGTTTGTCTGGACTTGTTAGGTAAATGTGGCTTATAATACGTGTAATTAGATATGTTTGCCTGGAAATTAGACTAAAACACTTGCAAAGATATGTAGTGGGAGAACTCGTTCTTTTGTGAGTGGAAAGTTTAACTCATATGCTTTAAAACCGCAGACCACATAAAGTACGAGAAGTGGGTGTATTTTCAAAATACTTGCAATAGTGAGCACGATTCGTGAAAATTGCATTCACCTGCAATCGTTTTCAGACTGCCACTACCTGCTGGAGAGTCGTTTCTGCAGAATGTCCTTAATGTTACAGGTCAAAGAGCAGATGAAGGGATTTTCAGATGATGGGAAAGCCACAGAAACCCTCAGGATTCAGCAAAACAAAAATTATTCCAGTCTATTTTCACAGATTGGCTGTAGTTATTTCTCCCTGGTCTGAAGTGATGGAAGGTTGAAGAGGACATACAAATCCTTTCTTGTGCACTAAAATTAGATGCAACTTAAATGTCTAAATATGAAAAATAAGCTCAAAACGTGTAATCAAGTCATCAAATATTAAACAAAAGTGCATCCTATTAATATTTCAGCCTTTGAACTTCCTCGGCACTCAGTTTTAGTCCTCAGCTGATCCGAACTGAAGACGTGACACCTCTGCAGCTCCTGTTCATCTTGTTCTCTGTTCAGTCAGAGATAAAAGCAATTTGATGTAACACCACAGAACAACAGATGTGTTTGTCTTTCTCAGACCGCTCCAACACTAGCTGTAAGAACGTATCACCACCAATGCTCCACGGGGAGCTCTTTCCATTTGTTTCCATCCGCTGGTGTCCCAGCGAGTTAGGTTCTACATTGCTGCAGCCTTAGAGGTGCAGCTCAAGTTGTTCATGAGTATAGAAAGTTTTCTTTATTAAAAGAGGCCTTCTGATATACCTCATTGTTCTTTGTTTACCTTGGTTAGTACGAAGAAATTGATACATTTTTTCAAAGAAATCTGGCCAAAATTGGAAGCCAACTAGGAGTAGACCCCAGGGTAGACCTAGAGCTTGTAAGAGAACTATTATTTATCCCATCTAGCCTATGAACGCCTCAGATTCCACCAGGATGGATGGATGGATGGATGGATGGGAAACAGTCAGGGCTGAGGTTACATGAAAAATAAAGTTATTTTGATCACAGCACGTCACATAAAAACTCTTGGTTTACGTCATGTTCTTCATTAATTGGTTTAATATGGTGTCTATACACCATATTAACATATTAACCAATTAATGAAGAACATGACGTCAGACATTTCCATTCAATTTTGAGCATTCACCTTTCACACATGCAGTTCAAAAACAATCTGCTCTACCTTCGAGCCAGAGCATCTGTCATCAGCCCTTTTCTGACTGCGTTTCCACAAAAGTGCCATAACGAAGCTCAGTCTTCATTACTTCTTTGTACATTCATATTGAATCTGCAATGGCGTAATAACCTTGTGCCAGTCTGTGAATTTACATGGTGTTTCGGCATTCGTCAACAGCACAGCGGGAGCTCCACATACTGTACATACACAGTCAGACATGCACCAACACACAGCTCTCCCGCTGGCTCAACTGATCCAGTCTAGCCCCATTAATGCCTCTGTTACTACCTCTGAAGACAGGGGGGGGGGCTCTTCGTCCCCCCCTATTATGTGACAGTGATTGAAGGCGAAACATCACTGGGACATAAATATCACACCTTGAAATAGCAGTCTGAATAGGACTATCGGTGCAACTACTTACACACCTCGGGTGTGAAAATGAAAAACTGCCTCTATGTGATAATGCCAACAAGTATAACACTGTGTACTGTTTCACGCTGTAAGGTGTAAGATTGGGGCCTCAGTAGTATCAGGTTAAAATTAGGATATTACAAACAATAATAGGGATTATGAAAGCAACTTGATGACAAAAACAAATGTTTCTCACAATATTAAGACGCCATTTAAAACTACAACAAAACTATGCCCAAAACAATTTCTGCAAGTAACCCTCTCTCTCAAGGCTAAAAACGTAGAAAAAAGATTGTGTTACTCTTTGGTGCATGACCTTCTTTACTCTTATTCTCATTTTAAAAAACCTTTTACAAGTTTTGACATTCCAGGCAAACAAGTTGGAGCAAAAACACCATCTCCTTGCTGCAGGTGGAAAATCACAAAGAAGCATAAATTATATTATTGGACATACGACATCTTCATTAGATGCTTCTGCTGGGCTATTTTTAGCTGCTTAAGCTTTCTTTTTTTAGCAGTCGCAGATCATCAGTATCAGTGCTGTCGCAGTCTCTACAGGCTGCTGATAGAGGACAATGCAAAGTCACTGATAACTTAATGTCCCCTCTGATACCTGCAAACTTTCAGAACCCACAGTACCGGTTTTATATTTCTTTACATATGGACAGCAGCGCTATGCCTTCTTGTTAGGCATATTTTAATTTCATTCCAATATATAGTCTTATATTATTATATTATCAGACTGTCCTGTAAAGCTGCTCTGACAGTGAGTAGGCATAATGACCAGTGTCAAGTACTGTATATGTAAGGACTTTTTTTTTACATATATCTCTGATAAGTCACCATTCTATACATTTTATCAAGGTATTTTACCGTTTAAATACAGTTGCCCATATCTACAGTGTGTCTAAAAAATCTATTTAATAGCAATGTCCTTTGTTTGACTGTTCAGGCCAGATCTAATTTCTCTGCGCTCACATCTTGTCATCCTTCACTGTCTCTAAATAAAAAAAGATAAAAATGCAGTTTTTGAAAAAAAGCACCCGTCTGAATTATTAATCCTCTCTTCTGTTGTCAACAGGTTTAAGACTGTACACTGCATGCTGTATCCTTTCACCAGCTGGTGTCCTTGAGCTCGTCATACAGAGAGACTGCAACATCCCAAAAAAACACAACACACATGTGATCAGACTGGTAATTTCTGCTGGAGGAAGAGCTTTTTCCTAAGTTTTTTTTACCAAAAGAAAACTAATAGATTCATTTGAGACACAGACATCAGGACTTGACGATCACAAAGCGAAGCGAGAGCTTGGACAATAGAGGAGGCATGTAACTGGAAAAAAAAATGGTGTCTAACAATTTTTAACTGTTAGGCCTTCATTTCCTGCACAAAGAAGCACAAAGGCGGAATGACGGCAGTGCTTTGTTACGGCGCTGTTGTGTACTTGCAAGGAAAAAAGATGTCTGGGTTTCTGTGTGTGAATTAAGGTTTGGGATGATTTAATCAGAGTTTGAGGTCCTGGTTTTTGAATTAATTTCCTCTTTATGATGAAATATGTAATGGAATTTTATGAAGGGTGTCCTTAAAGACTGCACACATAAACCATTGTGAACTCCTTATCCAAACATACTGCCCTCCCTCACTCCTTTTTCTCACTTGCTCCCCTTTTCTTACCTCCCATCTGTTTCTATTTACTTAAGTCTTGTCCAGAATCGCTCCTTGGTCCTCCAGTGCCATGGCTGAAATTAGAATTCATTGCCTCCTCATCTATGGGCATCAGCTGTATTTGAACATACATGTCGATATATTTTACCTAAAACTTCAACAACACAAAGCATGAAGAAGATCTGAATTCATGCATTTGACACTTAGCCACCACTGGGGCCTGAAAAACTTGCTCTCACCTGCAGGGAAATCCTATCCACTTGGACAAATCAGGTTCAAAACCAGACTACTAATCTCACGATGACTTGCACACAATCTACAGTTGGCATAGGAGCCGGAGGCGACGTGCAGGGAGACGAGAGTGTGCTGCCGGCTGCCCGCAGGTTGCTTGTTTGCTGTGAACGGAGATGTGATGAATACAGATACAATGCAGAATGCACGAAGGGCTGACCCTTTGAGAAGTGGATAGAAAAAATATTGAAAATGTGCAAGAAGAGACTGCGTGGCTCTGATGTGTCTACACAAGGACACCAGGATCCATCATGTGAGGTATGCAAGACAAGTGTTTGACTGTGAGCTGTAAGTTAACTGTGAATGAAAATCAACTAACTGCTTTGGCCCTCAACTTTTACATCCATCTTTTTCAATGTATTCCTGCTTAAATAAATGTAAAGTAAGAAGATAAACAGTACACCATATGTTTGGCTTTTATTCAATATATATTTGATCTCAAAATGAGAAAAAAAATCATTTTTTTTTAACATGATTTGTGCAAAAGTTGTGACTGCAATGCTTGACATTTAGAAAAAGTTCCCTTCCATTAGTCATTATAAAAAGTAGTACCATTGACCATTTCTCCTTAATGCTCTCTCTCAAAGCTGAGGCTCGCAAATGTGCAATATAGAATTTTTTTTTTTAATTACTTATTTTTCTGCCACTAGGGTCAGAAAACTGCACAACAAAATGATCAAAAACGTAGCGTTTTTAACATGTTATATATTATCTGTTTTACACATTGACATGAGTTAAGGTTATTGTTGGGTTGTACAACTTGTATTACTGATTCTGCAACCCTTGAGCCATTGTTGCACCATCTTTTCTCACCTGCCAGTTTTATAAACTTTTAATTATTAGCCATGTGTGGGACAGATGGTGTAGCATTATTGGGGCTTGTATTTCTGGCTGTTTGCCATGTGAAGGCCTAGAGGTGTACAGGACTCACAGCATCCAACAGAAGTAATGAATCAAGTAACATGGTTCTACTTTCACTCTGCTGCTTTGTCCCCCTCTTTGACCAAAGTAAGTCTCTATTACACAAAAAAGACCTTTTCCAAGACAGGAACAGGAAACAAGTAAGAGCAGGACACAGTTTCCAAAAGAGCCATGCCACAGTCTTTACAACAGTATTACATTAAGACAGAGTTATCAGCTTCTTCTATTTATTCTCTAAAGCTGTTGAAGCAAGAGGAGGCCATCGATATCAATGTTTTAGAACAAACTCTGATTTGAAAACTAGGAAGGTTCCGGTCTGCTTAGGTGGGTGAAGCAAAACTTACTTTGAGTAGAGTAGAATGATAGTAGGTCTTTGTCAGTATTGGTTTGGGCTGAGCACTTAAGTTTCATTGTGAATGTTGTGCTTTGCCTCTGTGCCATTGCCTGTCAGCACCTGTGTGTCCGATTGGACTTAAAGCTGTTCGTTTGCACTTACTGTTGTAGTTTCCTCATTTCTAGATCCTTGATTGTGTTGCACTTGATGTTTGTCGCTTTCTGCTAAATGAATTGTACAATTACGAGGGCTGATACAAGTATGAAGGCCTTGGAATCCAACAGTTGCTCATACGTTTTAAAGCATCTTTTGCAGTGGTCAAAACAAAAAAGGTTATGCTGTCTTTTTCAAAACAGTCCTTGAGTTTTATGAAATTATATATGTGTGTAATAGTGTGTTTAGCATTTCAGGACCACCTTACTCTTAACTGTAGATTACAAATGAATACCTTTGTAATTTAAGAAAAAACAATTCCTGTGATAAAAACATCATGGCAGCATTGATTTGCTTTTCATTTTTTTCTGAATTGATCATTTTCTGTATTTTATTTAATTATAATTGGATGTGCTAACCAATAGTTTTCGTGTCATCTTTACATAATAGACTTTATTTGGCATGGACATCACAGATACATTGGACGAACCAGATGCATTGTTTAAGTGTTTTAGCAAGCATGCTAGTTCTCTCAACACCTGTCCACAGGAGACTTTTGAAAGGAAAACTTTCAATTAAGATTTAAAAAAAAAATTAAAACAGAGAAAACAAGAAGGAGAGAATGAATAAATACACTTAAACTGTAGAGCAAAGGCAGCATGATCAAACAATAAACCAGTCAGAAGCTATTGATGTGAGCACTGTTGTTTTGATTTTAGCCATTGTTTGAGTCCTCTATTAAAAGCATTACTGTTGCTCTCTAATTTTATGCCAGTGGAAGCATATCGGCTGAAATCATCTCTACGTTAAAAAAAAAAAAGGTCTTGTTTGTTGTTTTCCTTAATTGTTTATTCATTAGAAGGTAGGATGTGAGTTCAAATGGAATACAGATGAATTCATTTTCAAAAGGAAAAAGCTGCAAGCCGCAGATTTTCTGGAAAAGCAGATTTCAATGGCATACATGCTGGAAGAGGCTGGAGGTGTTGTCAGCACTTCTCTTGCACATTGACATAAAGTTATGTAAAATCTAATAATGAACCCTGTGATAATTTATGGATATTCATCAAGCAAAAAGTGCAATCTTCCACACTGCTCCTTTAATGACTGCAAGAATCTGTGATTTACAGTGCGTGTGAAGATCCTGCATATTATGCATTAGCACAGACTGGAGGTTTGCTTGTTCAAGTGTGTGAAAATGATACACCTGCACCTCCCTCCCCTCTGTTTATCTGTGTCCCCTCTACGGTGGATTTATAACCTCTGCTGTCTGTAAACAGGAGTAACTGTGGGAGCAGAGGACAGGGTCAATATGAGGCAAAGTGTAACAGCTGTCAGAGGAACGCTCTGTCTCATCTCCTCTGTACATCCCGTTAAACGGACAGAGCCTTGTAAAGCACAGAGGGGTTTAAAAGGATGTCCGGTGAGAATAAAATTATGGGGGAGGCAGAGGTGGGGGTAGAAGTGTGAGAGACAGGTAGATTTAGGTCCAGAATAAATAAAACAATGATGGAATTTGCCAACAATTCTAGGAAAAAGATTATGACAAGGAATTGTTTGATATTAGATGAACATACCTTCTCCGAGCAACTGTCATTAGCTGAACAGCAGCATAAAGCTGAACATTTTACCACTTACTGTTTCACATGTTGGACACCATGTGGCACGATTTGTAACTTCAGCTGACTGCTGATTATGTAAAACAAAAAGTACTTCTTGATAAGGTTTGTACTGACAGCTGATGTAGAACATATTACATACAAAGTCAATTAAATTCCCAAATAATTGTAAAAGTTATTTGCCTATCTCAATCTCAATTAGGCAAGACAAGCAGGTGAACCTGAGTCTGTTGGGAAGATAAGACTCTGTGAGGTGCGCAGAGCAGATAACATCAGCATTACACATTTTACATCATTTATATATCTTTTATTTCAAATTTCTTTCTTTTCCATTAATGTCATATTTCTGTATTTCTCTTGGATCGTTTTTTTTCCTTTTCTTAAAGAATATGTCCATGTGTTATACTGTAGTCTAAGTTCAGAACACTTACAAGAGTTGTCAACAGTATTAATGTTATTTAGGTCAGGGTTTGTGAACAGATCAAAATAAATTCAATCTTAGTGTCACAGCATACAAAAATATTTCACAAAATTTGCAGCAAAGCTATGAAAAAGGCTTTTTTCCTGTTGCTTGCAGGGACAGGATGCACAAAGCCAGGTCTCTGAACTTTTTCCAATTTGTTTGGAAGAATTTATTCTGGCTGCACAGAGCCATGGCCTCAACGCTGTCCCACATTTCTGGGATGAACTGAAGCTTTAACTGCAAGCCAGACATTGGCACCCAATCAGGAGGGTTGGACTCTGTGATGCTCCCTGTGCCTGAATCAGAACAAATCCCTGCAGCCAGGTTCCAAAATCTTGTTGGTAACCCCCCCCCCCGAAGAGTGAGGTATGCGATAGCATCTGTCACTGCCTGTTTCTCCCCTTCCAGAAACATTCTTCATTCCCCAGGCCCTTTCTTTGCCATTTTCCTTTTGCCCTCCAGGTGTCCTTGGCCTTTCCCTCCCTTGCTCTGCAACCAACAACCCCACCCATCTTAATACCTATTTCCACTTCCAACATCTGCTATGCAGTTTTTTTTTGCCTCCTCAACTGCATCTAATTCCCTCATCAGTAAACCCTGACTTCTCTCAGAACAGCTCCAAACGACCCTCGCCAGTTAATGAAAGTTTGTTTCTCTTTGCTTTCAAGCCTATTTCACACCGAATAATAATACTCTGTCTAGATTCAGATCCTTAGCATATCTGTATGTTTACTCAGGGACATACAGAGGATTTTAGAGGGACAGGGGTCCAAGTTCACAATAAAGCGATTTTTTTCCTAAAACGGTATTAAATAATGCTCGGAGTACATGATACATAACAGTTCATCAATATTACATGCAAAGAACATAGGGGTGGTTTCTGGAGTTAAAGTGTGTAAAATGTGTCTTTTAAGGTGTCAGCTTTGTACTATGGGTCATTTCCAAGAGATGAATCTGGGAATAAAACAGACGTTGATGATCCACCATTACTGTGGCGGCATCTTCCTTCAACAGCTGTGGGTTTAAATGCAAGCTGTCGTGATGAGTCAACATTTTTTCTACTTCTATCACTTTCTATGTAACTTTGCTTTTTAAAACAATTTAAAAGACATCAGGAAGATTGCACAAGAGTATGAGAGCGGACACTCATACTGTACATACAATCATTTGCCTTGCAGATGACTCAAATATATTCTTCAGTGGTCGATCAAGACAAGAATCTAATGATTATTAGTTGTTTTCCCTCTCTGATCTGGCGATTAATAAAATGTTCTTGTGTAACGTTCCTGTATTAGCAGGACTAATCAGGTAAGAGCTACATGTCATCATTTGAGAACAGCATCGTTAGCAAAACAAAACCTGCTTGTAAAAAAAAAGTGCTCGTTAGTCGACGTTTTACAGTATGAATATCTAACGAAAAGAATTCCACAATGCATCCAGTCTGTTTTGTTAAACTGTAGTAATTGATTAAACGAACTAGTTTGTAGAATAACGTTATACAGCAATTCATCACTTAATATGTGGCGAGTGGTAGAGTATTATTTCTTATTATGTAATCAGGTTGCTGCTGTAAATGTTGTCCATGTAAAATATAAATAAACGTATGATCCCCTGATTAAGGTACTAAAGGTACTAAAACTAATGTTTTTAATCAACTATGAATACTGCTATCACAGTTAGTAAGGAGTAGAAGACGCTGAGATGCCACCACAGTAGTGGTGGCCACTGCACGATGGCAGCGCCCACAAATAGGTTGATGAATTCATCTATACAGGTAGAAAGCTTCTCTTAGAAGGTAGGTAAGGAGCACAACTAGGGATTTAACTGCAACCTGAGGCCACAACACATCAGGTGTGCACTCTAGTTATATTTCAGAAATGTTGGGACTTTCTTTACTGTCAGCAATATAAAGGCAAGCATGTCATCTATTAGCCTGCCAACACAGCCCCTCAGTGGCTTCAAGGTTAGTCTTAGCCAACAGGCGTGACGTATTTCAATTAACTCTCCTTACATTTGAACCATTCCAACTCTCAGTAATACCTACTGTATGACACCTAACTTGCAGAAGTTCAGCTACATTCTGCTGTCAAAGAGGCACTTTCTCGCTCTCCTCTCACCTCAATATTCATTTCATAAAACCTCTCAACAGAAGGTTGATCTACTTCAGTAGTCACAGGCAAAATAAAGATACTAATTCTATCTGGTTAGGTCATAAATACTATGAGACAACAAATGAGTTTAATATAATAACATGTAATAATGACATGTATGATAGTAGTTTATGTGATTAATGTGACAATCTGTTATAACACATGATCTTTTTAATGCTCTGGTGTTTATAGGTCTGTGTCTTTGAATGCTAGTATGTTTGATTGTTGAGCATTTGGTCACCTTTGTTGATTTTAGATGTCCTTTATACCTTTTTTTTGGATTGGACTGGAATCTAAACACAGTGAATCATGTCGGCCTGAAGGCTGAAATCACTACTTCCGAAAGCAACAATGATGTTAACACTTTTCATAAAAGATTAGTCAGTCTTCATGTTAACGTAAGAGACTCCTTTATTCATCTCACAACAGAGAAATTTACATTAGTTGTAGATGTGTTTATGAGCTGTTAATTTGCCCTGCTACCTATATCCGTTTTTTAGTCCAACGCAGGGCAGCTTTTGTTGTGCCCTATACAACAGATATTCCTTATAGCCCCTCAATCCATATTTTTATTACCTAATCTTCACTCATCATTAAACGGACAGTATCACAATGATGCAACACAAGTAGAATATGGCTGTAAAACCATAGCACTGCAGCCATTAAAATGTACTGGTGTGAATTCCTCACATTACAGATGTGGATAATATTATATTCACACCCAAATTGCAGTGAGTTGCTGTGTTTGCTTCAGGTCATCCCTCGGTCACTGATTAAAAATTAACCAAAAGATTCTGCCTATATCCATACATCTAAGGTTGTAAGCGCATATGATTAACCATATCTGTGAACCAGCCCCATACAAACTAGTGTAACACTTCCACACATATTTTGAATTATAGATGATTGTGAAATGGAAAAAATACAATCTCCAGAGGAAATGTATGAAAAATAACTACAGCAGGAGCCAGACACATACAGCCCACCACTTAGAAAAAAACAATATTTACCACACAAATAATGCAAGGGAAAAAAAAAGCAATTGAAAACCCACCATTTGCCCACCCTATTGCGCACATGGAAATTCCACTTTGACATGAAGAAGAAAGAGAATTGAGTAA